CTTCTTCTTCTTCTTCTTCTTCTTCTTCTTCTTCTTCTTCTTCTTCTTCTTCTTCTTCTTCTTCTTCTTCTTCTTCTTCTTCTTCTTCTTCTTCTTCCTCCTCCTCCTCCTCCTCCTCCTCCTCCTCCTCCTTTCTCAACACCAGCTGGAAAGAGGAGAGGACTTCAACTCCCAGAATCCTGGCTGGGGAATTCTGGGAGTTGAAGTCCTCCCCTCCCGGGGGTTGAGAAAAAACACCATCCTAATTTTGACTGAACCGGACATCCCTTTTTTCTCGTCGGCCAGGTGAATCCGGAGAAGTCTGTTACGGCCGTCTGAAGATCCCTGGGAAAAGAGAGCTGCCCGTCGCGGTCAAGGCCCTGAAACCTGGTTACACGGAAAAGCAGCGGCGGGACTTCCTCAGCGAAGCCAGCATCATGGCCCGGTTTGATCACCCCAACGTCATCCATCTGGAAGGGGTGGTCACCAAAAGTAGGTCTCTCCGGCGACGGATCTCATCAGGGGTCCCTGGGAGTTGTTAGGATGTGGGGATGCACGCATCCATGTCTTCACTCGCCTGCCGCTTCTGTGGCCCGGTTCTGAACGGCTCAGGGCCCGGTAGTTGAGGACCCCCGGTTTAGATCTTGGGGTTAAGTCAAACCCAGCTCTCTTATTTAATCTTTCTTGTCTTTGCAGGCAAACTCATGATGATTGTGACCGAGTACATGGAGAACGGATCCCTGGATTCCTTCCTCCGGGTAAGATGCCTGCAACAACGCCAGGGTGCTCAAAGTTGGAAAGAGAGCTGTAACATGGGAGAGAGAGCAGTAGACTTATAGGCCGCTTCACCGTGCTTCACAGCCCTCTCTAAGCGGTTTACAGAGTCAGCCTAGGGCCCCCAATAATCTGGCTCCTCATTTTAGCGACCTCAGGAGGACACAAGCCTGAGTCAACCAGTCTGGATCAAACTCCTGGCAGTGGGCAGAGTCAGCCTGCAATGCTGCATTCTGACCATTGGGAAGGAAGGAAGGAAGGAAGGAAGGAAGGAAGGAAGGAAGGAAGGAAGGAAGGAAGGAAGGAAGGAAGGAAGGAAGGAAGGGAGAGAAGAAGGAAGGAAAGGAGAGAGAAAGGAAAGAAGCTTGTTTCCTTCTTTCCCTCTCTACCTCCCTTCTTTCCTTCCACCCTCTCTCCCTTCACCTGGAAGGAAGGAAGGAAGGAAGGAAGGAAGGAAGGGAGAGAAGAAGGAAGGAAAGGAGAGAGAAAGGAAAGAAGGAGCAAAGGAAGAAAGGGAGAGATGGAGGGAAGAAAGGAAGGTGGGAGAGAGGGAAGACCTGGAAGGAAGGAAGGAAGGAAGGAAGGAAGGAAGGAAGGAAGGAAGGAAGGAGAAAGAGGGAGGGAAGGAAGGAAGGAAGGAAGGGAGAGAAGAAGGAAGGAAAGGAGAGAGAAAGGAAAGAAGGAACAAAGGAAGAAAGGGAGAGATGGAGGGAAGAAAGGAAGGTGGGAGAGAGGGAAGGCCTGGAAGGAAGGAAGGAAGGAAGGAAGGAAGGAAGGAAGGAAGGAAGGAAGGAAGGAAAGGTCGGTCTGTAATTATTTTCTCAGCTCCTGCAGTGCCCAGCTCCTCAAAAGAGCTGAGTTCGAGGGCAGGGAGGGTGGCCAGAGACGAGGCTTCTCCAACCGGGTGCCCACGCACCAGAAAAACCACCCAGCTTGGGGTTTTTTTCCCTCCCCCCCTCTCCAGAAACACGACGGGCAATTTACGGTCCTCCAGCTGGTGGTCATGCTCAGGGGCATCAGCGCCGGCATGCGCTACCTCTCCGATCTGGGTTACGTCCACCGGGACCTGGCGGCTCGTAACATCCTCATCAACGGCAACCTGGTTTGCAAAGTCTCGGACTTCGGCCTCTCTCGCGTCCTGGACGACAACCCGGATGCCGCTTACACAACCACAGTAAGCGTCCTCTACGGTGAAATAAACAAGCGGCAACACTTCACGTGATCACGATGCTAGGTCTCCGTTAACGCAACCCAGGATCACATTTGCCTTTTGGGCGGCTGCCGCACGCGGCTGGCTCACACTCAACGGGGGGGTCCCCTTGCACTGAACCGGTTGTGAGTTGCGATGCGTTTCTTTCAAGCCGTAGGTGATCCACACCACCGCCCCGTTCTTAGCCATCCAGTCAGGGCTGAGGGTAGAATGTAAGGTTTCGGAAGGGAACCCTGGAGGTCATCTAATCGGGCCCGCTTTGAATTCCAGGGAGGGAAGATCCCCGTTCGGTGGACGGCCCCCGAAGCCATCACCTTCCGGAAGTTCTCCTCGGCCAGCGATGTGTGGAGCTACGGCATCGTCACGTGGGAAGTGCTGGCCTACGGCGAGCGGCCCTATTGGAACATGACCAATCAGGACGTAAGCGGAGGAGGGTCTGCAATCTTAAGGGGGAGGGATCTGAAGCTCCTCGACTTACAGCCGTCCATTTAGTGACCGTTCACGTTACAACAGCACTGAAAAAAAAGCCACTTAACAACCAGAAACGTCGTAAGTCCAGGCCAGTTCGTACGCTTCCGATCTGAGCCGTCTTCCGAGGCGCGCCCGGAGAGCCACGATCGCTTTTAGCGAGGAGAAAAACCTGGGTTCGAGGTTAAGCGGGCGACTCTTCCTCGCAGGTCATCCAGTCGGTGGAGGAAGGCTACCGGCTGCCCGCTCCCATGGGCTGCCCCATGGCCCTTCACCAGCTGATGCTCAATTGCTGGCAGAAAGAGCGGGACGAGAGGCCGCGCTTCGCCCAAATTCTCGGCGTCCTGGACAAGCTGATTCGCAACCCACAAAACTTAAAATGCACAGCCACGGTCAACAGGTAAGGGGCGGGGAATGCGGCCGTGGCAGGCAGGATCTAGGACAATTCGTCCCGGCCAACTCATCCCGGACAATTCGTCCCAGCCAACTCATCCTGGACTATTCATCCTGGTCAATTTAATAATAATAATAATGATAATAATGATAATGATGATGATGATGATGATGATGATAATAATAATAATAATAATAATAATAATAATAATAATAATAATAATAATAATAATAATAATAATAATAATAATAAAGTTGGAAGGGACCTTGGAGGTCATCGAGTCCAACCCCCTGCTCAGGCAGGAAACCCTACACCATTTCGGACAAATGGCTGTCCAGTCTCTTCTTGAAAAACCTCCAGTGTTGGCGCATTCACCGCTTCTGGAGGCAGGTGGTTCCACTGGTTAATTGTTCTCACTGTCAGGAAGTTTCTCCTTAGTTCCAGGTTGCTTCTCTCCTGGATTAGTTTCCATCCGTTGCTTCTCGTCCTGCCTTCAGGCGCTTTGGAAAATAGCTTGACTCCCTCTTCTTTGGGGCAGCCCCTGAGATAGAGAATTCCTCCTGGACAATTCGTCCCGGTCAACTCATCCCGGTCAATTTGTCCCAGCCAATTTGTTCCAGGCAGTTCACCAGTTCGCCAATTTGCCACGGGCCAGTTTGCCACGGAACAAGAGTTGCGCTAATATCAGAGAAACGATGGGATATAATCGTGAAAGCAAGGATGCCGAAGGGGGTGGGGAAACCAAATGAAATGTGAATGATGAAAATGTTTCGGTCAACTCCCCCCCCTCCACCGACCACCCCCAACCCCCATTTTTTTTTCTTTGCCTGCAGGTTCACCCAAACGCTGTCCGAACGAGGCCACATTGATTTCACCCGCTGTGGCTCCGTGGGAGAGTGGCTGGATTCGATTCGGCTAGGAAGGTACCAGGAGAATTTCGCCCTGGCTGGCTATTCGTCTCTCGGCATGGTGATGCACATGAATATTGAGTAAGTGCATCACACACACACACACACAGTAACACAAATACACAATGCCAGTGTCTGGTTTTCAGCCGTTGGGCCTTATCTCTGCACCCCGCTGAACGGAGTGGACCCTTCCCCTCCCCCATCCGATAAAACTCAACGTTTCCTCTAGATTTGAGCCAATCTGATAACCATCCCAGGCAGGAAAGGGCCTTTGCTGTAAGCGGGGCACCTCAGAGATCATCTAGTCCGACCCCAAAGATGCCTGTGATGCCAGAGGCTGTGGACTCTCCAGGCTGGAGAACCTCTTGAGGATCAATCAACTGGCCCATAGTTTGTCCCTGGAGCATCTCTGCTTCTCGAAGACCCCCCTCCCCCTTCTTTCCCCCTGCCCCAAATCTTGGGGGGGGTGGGGTGATGCTTTTCAAAGGGGGATATTTTGGTCCTTCCGTGAAGATTCCCCCCCCCCAGATGAATTTCTGCCTTGCACCATCATCATGAATCTACGTGACGTTTGGCAGGATTCCAATCCAAGCCAATCAGCGCAAACCTTCATTGAAGGTCAGATGCTGGTTTGTGTCTGATCTGCCTTGGAGAGAGGGTCTTGCAGGTGTTAAGGCAGGCTGCCCCCTTCCCTGCTGTGACACGCCTAACGCTGTTTCGACTGGAGTCAATTTTGACAGTCGGATGTTATCCCTCGGCCCTCGAATGGGGCAGACCCCAGAAGGATCAAGGACTACAAAGCCTTTGAAGCCAGAACGATGGTGATGTAACGCTAATATCTCCTCTTCCATCCTTCCTCCTGCAAGCCAGCAGAAGGCAGCCAGCAATCTTTAATCTCCTGGCCCTTTTAAGCTAGAAAAACATCAGAAAACCCCGAAACGCCCGACAATTCTTTCCACGTCCATAAAATATTAAAACCTGCAGCAGGAGAACGCAACATCGAGAGAAATAATTAGGTCTCTTTTGCTTTTCGGCGTCAAATCATTCTAGCTTGTTCTGCTTGTCTTTCTTTCTTTCTTTCTTTCTTTCTTTCTTTCTTTCTTTCTTTCTTTCTTTCTTTCTTTCTTTCTTTCCCTCTTTTTCCTCCTCCAGGGACGTGCAAAACCTGGGAATCAATCTCACGGGCCATCAAAGGAAGATTTTGACCAGCATCCAGATCATGAGGTCCCAGCTTCTCAACACCATGGGTTGCAGAAGACCCCTCTGATAGTTGTCGCTTGCTGTTGAGGTGGTTTCACGCAGGGAACCCTCCCGAGGAGTTTAGCAGGAGCCTCGCTTGTGGTGTCAGCGGTGGGATACCCCTTTCGCTGCTCAGAACGAGGAGGTTGAAGGGGCTCCAGAAACAGGCTGGGTCCTGTTCTCCACCATTCATCCCTAGGGGGGGACTCCTTCAGACTGAACTTCTCCAGAACTTGGCCTCTACCTGATCGGGTAGGGAGTGGGGTCTCCCATAAAAGACGGTCTTTGTAACTAGCCAGAGATGACCGCTGTAGATTCTTACAGACTTGTACTTTTTTTTAAGCCACTGATCGCAATAACTCTTTTGACCTGCACCCTCAACGGCACCTTCACCAAGGGGGTCCCTCTGCTCCCACCCACCCCCCTACTTCCATCTGAGGTGGACAACCTGCGGCACACCCAAAGCTGAACGGGGATTGCGCTGGAGACCTCAACATTTCTTCCAGGGTATCCGGAGCCCACAAACTCAAGTCCCCTGTAAGATCTCCCATCTCCCCTGGCCCACTCTCCGTTCTCTTTCCCGGCTCCGACCGGTCTCCCTCCGTCCCTCTCTTGCTGAGGAAAGCAGGATTCTCACCCACCTCAACCTCTTGGCCTCTCCAGATAAAGGCCGTGTCATCCAGGGACAGACAGTCTTCCGTTCCACGTTCCTTCGATCCGGATAGTTTTCTGATCGCCCTCGGTGCTGTCGTTGATTATCGACTTAACAGGGTATATATTTCATTATCGCTCAGGGGTGGAACGCTGAACCAGTCACACATACACACGCACGCACACACACACCAAGAACAACTCAACAACCTCGTTGCTCTCTTCCTCGTCCTTCCTCTTCCAGTCAAGATCGTTCTCTGTTTACTTCTCAAGGGGGGGGGAGGGCTGATCCACTTGAAAACCCTCAACGTCCACCACGGGAGGTGTCAGGAATACACCTGCCTCCCCTACACAGCTGATCAACAAAGCTGGTAAAAATGGACATCACGTCGAGAAGGACACCTTCCAGGCCAAGACTTCCAGGATCAACCAACCTGGTTTGAGATCTGGGAGGGCGTCCGATTGACCCCCGAGATCTTGTAACATGCAATAATAATTTAAAAAAACCCCTCCCCAATTCTACAGGGTGACCGCCACTTCAGATCTAGCCTAGGGCTGTCCAGTGGCGAGTATTCTTCCTATGGAAGGCCCTTCATTTCGTTTCCGAAGCAAGGCAATACGGTCCCGTCGTAGCTGGGAGAAGCGGCCCCGGGCGATCTGGGGGAAGCCCGGCGAAGAGTAGAGGGCTGCAACAGGGTGGGAGAGAAGACACCGCAGGACAGACCTCGTTCTCCAGAAGCCACCCCTGCTCTGTGTAATAGGGGGGTGGGGGGGTGGGCTCGTGAGGACGGAACGGCACAAATCGGCCAGGACAACTCGCCACGGCCAAGTCGGCAATGGTCAATCCGCCGTGGGAAAACACGCCGTGGGACCATTCCGCCGTTATTATTATTATTTCAATTTTTTCTTGTTTTGCCAATTTTATTAATTTTCAAATAAACATAAACAAATACAAATGTGGTGCATTTCATTCAAAAAACAAAACAAAAAGGAAAACCTGGTCAATATATTTTCAGAAATGATCGGCGGTCTCCCCCGCCCTGCATCCCCCCTCACTCCTTCAACCTTCCTACCTACTTCCCTCTTCCTTCCTCCCCTCCTACCCACACCTCTCTCCTCCTCCCTCCTTTCCAACTATCCTACACATCCCATCCCCTTCTTTTCCACCTCCTTCGGATGCAGTTTGGGGGTACTAGCCGACCATCTCCTCTTCTCAAAAAGGGGAAAAACCATTATGTTATTTATCTATAACCTATAAATACACCAAATTGTATATAATTCTACCCCTTCATTCCCGTTTCATGTTGGCCTCCTTTTCTTTTGGGATTTGATTTGACTGTTTCTTCTTCGGTATTAGGGTAACTCTTCTCCCACGGCCAGTTTTCCCGTGGCGGAGTTGGCCGTGGCGAACTGGCACATTGGTCACGTCGAGTTGGCTGTGCCGGACACGGCCAGGGCGAGTTGTCCTAGACCCCACGAGGACGGGATGATGCTTTGCTTAGGCTGCTGGAAGGAGGGGAAGGGGATGGGGGCAGGTCCTTCCTGGTTGACCTGCGGCGACGCCGTCTGTATTTTGGCATTCCATCACACTTGTTGGGGAATAAAAACTCTACTCTTTATAACCGGCCTCCTTGTTTTTTATTGGCGGAGGAAAGCGTGCGGAGAAGAGCGACAAAGATAAAGAGCGGGCCGGAGGTGAAAACATACGAGGAACAGTTAGAGGAATTGGGATGTTTAGTCTAATGAAGAAAAAGACCAGAGGTGACAGGATGGCAGTTTTCCAATATTTGAGGGGCTGCCACAAAGAAGATGAGGGGTTCCCACCTATTCTCCAACACACCCGAAGGCCGGACAAGGAACAACGGATGGAAACTCATCAACCTGGAATGGAGAAATTTCCTAACAGCGAGGACAATTAACCAGGGGAACAGCTTGCCACCAGAAGTTGTGGGTGCTCCAACACTGGAGGTTTTTAAGAAGAGACTAGACAGATATTTGTCCGAAATGGTCTAGGGTCTCCAGCGTGAGCAGGGGGTTGGACTAGAAGACCTCCCAGGTCCCTTCCAGCCCATGCAACCTATGAAAGTTTGCAAGGCTTACAAACAGCTTTGAATCAGTGTCCAGCTAACCAAGGTGGCTTGCAGTGAGTGCAAAATGATCCAAGATCCAAAGGTGGCTTGTGGGGACGTTCTTCTCTCCTTGCCTTTGGGGCGCCATGGGGGGGTCTCCGTGTCACAGAGCCGGCACAGAGGGGGAGATATTTTACGGTGCCCACCTGGGCGACCATCCGAAGCGATTCTGGCAGCACACACACACACCCCCAGTCTCATCCCTCCTCCCCGTCTCCATGGGAAATGGGTGTGTGTGTGTGTGTGTGTGTGTCTTTGTTAGTGCAGCTGGACAGCCGGTGATAAATAAAAGATGGGCACAGGTGTCTCCCATAATTTAAGCACACCAGGCAGTGAAATTTTTTTTGGGGGGGTGCTGCCCATCAAGCCTCAACTTCAAAGAGGCAGAAGCCCAGGCTGGCCCTTTGATGTGGCTGCCGTCTGTCCCCGTTGTGGCAAGGGGTCTGAGCAGCCATCGGGATGGGATGGGGGGAGCCCCGGCGGGGCAAGACGGCGAGGCAGGATCTGCCAGTTCTGGGAGGGGGGGGCCAAACGAGGCTGGCTGGGCCGGAAGCCCTGAGCCTAATCAGACCCGGCGGCCCCCAACGTTGGCCATTTATTTCCAGTGACACGTTGACCGACCCAGATGCAACGACGGAGGTGGGGAAGGGGGGGTGGAAGGGAGAGAGGAGGAGGAGGAGGAGGAGGAAGAGGAGATGGTGGTCTGCCAGCAGCCTCTAAATTGGGGCTGCCCCCAAAAGGCTTCCCCTGAATTTTATTCTTTGAAATAGGAAAGCTCGTTTTTAGCAAGGAAGGAAGGGAGGGAGGAGAAAGTAAAGGAAGAGAAGGGAAGGAGGGAAGAAATAAAGGCAGGGAGGAAAGAAAGGAGAGAGGGAAGAAGGAAGGAAGGAAGACAGAAAAAGAAAGAAAGAAAAAGAAAGAAAAAGAGTAAGGAAGAAAATTGGACAAGAGGAGGAAGGGAGGAAAGAAAGAAGGGAGAGAAGGAAGCTTGTCTTCCTTCCTTCCTTCCTTCCTTCCTTCCTTCCTTCCTTCCTTCCTTCCTTCCTTCCTTCCTTCCTCTTTCTCTTTTCTTTCCCTTTCCCTTCCTCTCTCTTTCCTTCCTCCTTGTATCTTTCCTTCCTTCTTTCCTTCCTTCCTTCCTCTTTCTTTCCTTTCCCTTTCTTTTCTCTTCCTCTCTCTTTCCTTCCTCCTTGTATCCTTCCTTCCTTCCTCTTTCTCTTTTCTTTCCCTTTCTCTTCCTCTCTCTTTCCTTCTTCCTTGTATCCTTCCTTCCTTCCTTCCTTCCTTCCTTCCTTCCTTCCTTCCTCTTTCTCTTTCTCTTTCCTTTCCCTTTCTTTTCTCTTCCTCTCTCTTTCCTTCCTCCTTGTATCTTTCCTTCCTTCCTTCCTTCCTTCCTTCCTTCCTTCCTTCCTTTTCTCTTTCCTGCTTTTCCTTTTAATTCGTTGCTGTGGTTTTTTTTTTACGTCCTCGCTAAATATCGTTCCTTCAATTAAAAAGAAAAAAAAAACACGTTTTTAAACCAGAGATGACTTCCTTGAAGTTTTCCCCCCCCCTCGCAAGATGCAAGGACGTCGCTGTGTGTGTGTGTGTGTGTGTGTGTGTGTGTGTGTGTGTGTGTGTAAAGAGAGAGAGGGGACGAAGGTCTCTTTAATTGCTGTGTGTGTGGACCTCGGGGGCCTCCCAAATCCACTCTCCTCCCGGCCCCCCCGCTGTTCTCCGGGCCTTTCTGCACGCAAGTGCTGCTGGCTGAGCCTGAACCGGGGTGACAGGAAGGGAATGGATCCATGGGCGCAACAGCAGGCAGGGAAAGCTTCGCACGGAAACATGCAAACAGATCAATGCCTCCCGCTGCGCTGGGCCTCGGTGCCCCCACTGCCGTGCAGAGAGAACATCGCCTTCCTTTCTGCCCTCCGCAGGAGAGGTCAGCGGCCGAGCAGATGGTTCCGGAAAGATGCGGCGGGCCTCGCCCGGCGCTGGGCCTGGCCCGGCGCATAAATGGCGCCCTTCTGCCCCCTTATCCGTAGCTCAAGGTTGGGGCGCTGGGATGCTCAGAGTTGAAGCCTCAGTAAAAAGGGGACTTTGGCAGCTCCAGGGTTGATGCTCTCTGAGCTTGGGGGGGGGGGGTGTTTCTTGCAGACGTTTCATGACCCAACTAGGGAACATCATCAGGGCTAGAAGGGAGGGGGCTTTGAGGAGGAGGAGGAGGAGGAGGACTGTGGGGTGATGAGGTTACCTAGTTTGGGTCATG